GTCAGACCTGTGCTTCCTGGAGCTTGGCAGCCCCGCCCACCCATGCTGCACACCCACAGACAGAAGACTCTCCCCACATAGAAGGGTGCTGCAGGGAGGGCTAATGCTGAGCTGACTTAATGACCCCAGTAGCACTCTCCCTTCCAGGAGCAATCACCCCAATGATCCAGATCTAGTCCTTCTGTCCGACTAGAGGGCAGGGTTCAGAGGAAACAACTGACATGGAATGAATGAAAGTGATGTGGTTCTTTCAAGAACAAAAAAAGGAGTAAGGAAAGGAACCAGCTGGCCTGGCCCTACCAAGAAAGATGGGTGGTGATCCCTTCTCCTAGGCCATCTTGTCCTCAGCCTTGCCGCCAATCAAACTGTGGCCAGTGGTCCATCCCAGAGCTATGTGTGAGAGCCTGCTTTATTTCTCACCAACTCAGGTGCCAGCATCTCCACAGCATCCCTGCAACCTATCACCCTGGATTCCAGCTCAAGAACCCCTGGGTCACCGGCCATGTAATCCCAGCACTTAGGAGGCTGAGGTAGAACTTCGAGGCCAGCCTGGGCTACATAGTGAGTTCAAGGCCAGCCTGAGCTACATAGAAAGACCCTGTCTCAAAAATAAATAAATAAAAATAGAGAGAGCCGGGGATTTACCTCAGTGGTTCCACCACCTGCCTCGCAAGCACAAGGTCCTGAGTTCAATCCCCAGTACCAAAAAAAAACCCCAAAAGTAAAAAATTGAGAGACAGAATTGCCAGAGTTCTCCCAACATCCCACTAGCCTCAAGGACCCCTGGAAGAAAGAGGAGCCATCAGGCATTCCAGGAAGAGGGTCCTCCCAGAAAAACCATGTGGGGCTCCAAAAGAGGGAGGAGGATCCAAGGTTTGCCCGCCTGGACCGCCAGGGCCTCCTATACTCTCCTGGAAGAGATGCCAGTAGGTCTCCTAAAGCACTGACAACATCAGAGTGAAGAGCTTGATGCAGACAGTGTAAGGTGAAACCAAAGACAACAGCTGGGTTTCCACCCAGCAACAGACTTCCCAACCTGCGAAGGAGTTAAGTGCTATACTGTGTCCGACCTGTTCTGAAAAGTACTCTTTGTAGAATGTAGCCATTTCCTCTCCTTCCACGTGATAAAAGTTGGCAGATTCTAAATTATAAAGACTCACACTTACAAATGTCTGCCACCTCCCCAGCTCTACCCTGATGTGGGGCAGGTTTAGGACAGCAGGGCACCGGCACCTTCAAGAATGGCAGCAACAGGCCGAGGATTTAGCTCAGTGGTTCCGGCTCCTGCTGCGCGAGCGCAAGGACCCGAGTTCGATCCAAAAAAAAAAAAAAAAAAGAATGACAGCAACATGCCTCACATGAGATAAGGCTCAATTTCAATGGATTCACTAACTAGAAGCGAGGTCACTGCCACCATGTGAGGTGACCTTTGTGAGCCATGAGCTTCTGGGAATGAAAAACTAAGAGTGCATCCTTATGTTTTCAAATTAAGGTGAATGGAGAAGGATGGGCCTGTCTTCCTTCTGTTGGGGTTGCTCATCATGACACACAGTGTTTCATCATCTTCACTCAGTATTCTGTGTGATATACCTTCTAGTCAGGGAAAATTCCCTGGAGGAGGCAGGCAGGGGCCACTGGTGAGACTCAAGAGAAAAGCAAAAAAGGAACTTTCTAATTCACCAAGACACAGTGATGGCAGGCCTTCCATTTTTCAACCATCACCTCTGGCCCAAAGAAGTCTGCAAGTGAGACTAGTAGTGCTTTCTCCACACCCCTGTCCATTCGTGCCCACTGTGAATCTCCAGCATTCCTCTCAACAAGGCCAACTCCACACTCTAGGCAGGCTCCTCTGAAGCACAAATCTGAGGCATCCACCTGCTTCATCCGTGGGCTATGGATTCAGTTTGACCATGGAAGGCTTGAGACCAGAAAAGTAACAGAATGTGTAGGTGTTAAAACCAAAAGCAAACTGGTGTATCCTAAGGCTAGGGTTATTTCCCCATACACTATGTTATGGCTTGTATCTAGATGTTCCCCCCAAAGCCACATGCATTTATAGGTGGGGAGTTTCGAAGGCAGTTGAGTTAGAGTGTGTGAATGTGGATTAAGAGTGTGATAAAGAAGGTAGGCCTGCTGCTTGCTACTTGCTGCCTTATGCCTGCCATGCCATGAATGGTTTCTCCTGTGCCAAGCCCCCTGCCATGCTGCCGTGCCTTGGAGCCAGCCAACTATGGACTGAAACCTCTACAAACTCTGAGTCGAAATAAACCGTTCCTTCTTTAACCTGTGGGTGTCAAGCACTTTGTCTCAGCAACAAGAAAAGTAACCAAGACACCCCATATAGCTATGTTTTGTGAAAGTGTTTGCGAGGGGATGGTGGCGGTCTATCATCATTCCCAACATTAGTCCCTTAACAGTCAGGGTTGGGGATACAGTTCCATGGCAGAGCACTTGTCTAGCATGCGTGAGGCCATAGGCTCCAGCACCAGCACTACTGCCACACACAGGCACACAGGCACTGTACAAGAACAGTCAGTGAACATCTCACAACAGAAATACAGAATTTTGGGAAATCATCTGATACTGTGTTAGGAATGACCCACACCCCAACAGTAAAAGGGAAGAACAAAGGTGTTCTTTTCTTGTATCTGCATAAAATCTCCAGAAGTTACTGGTGATATTTGTCACCTTCAAGGAGAAGCACCAGATGGCTCATGGACAGAGTGACTTTTATACCATTTGAACATGTGAACATATGGCCTATTCAAAATAAATACCCTTTACAAAGAAAGCTTTTCCTCAGGCTGTCCAGTCAGGCCTCTTGGGCTCGACTCACCTCTGCCACACACTGACTATGCAACTTGGGGCAACTCACAATCTTGCCAGGTTGTTGCCTCTACTGTTAGGTCAAATGGACTTAATAAATGATCTGTATTGGCTGCAGCTACAAACAGCATGTTTGTGCCCCCACCCCAATTCATATGCCAAAGCCCAGATTCCAATGTGACAGTATTATTAGGTCACGTAGATGGCCCTCATGAAATGGGACTAGTGCCCATATAAGGGCCTAAAAGGGACTCAGGGGGTAGCTCAGTTGTAGAGGGTTTGCTCAGTATGCCTGAGGCCCTGGGTTCAATCCCCACCAGCACCACCACCAAAAAAAAAACCAAAAAACCAAAAATAATAGTAACAGGTCAAAAAGATCACAGTTTTACCCTTCCCACCAAGTAAGGGTACAGCTAGAAGGTACTATTTATGAACCAGAAAGCAGGCCCTCACCAGATACCAAATTTGCCAGCACTCTGTTCTTTGACTTCCAGCCTCCAGACATGCGAAATAAATTTCTGCTTTTTAAAAGCTACCCAGTTTATATTATCTGGGGAGGGTAGTGCTGGGGATGGAACCCAGGGCCTCACACATACTAAGCACATGCTGTCCCACTGGGCCACATTCCCTGCCCCCATGATGTTTAATAGCAGCCCACATAGAGTAAGTCAGCCCTTTTCAGTTGCAGAAATCTATGATTTTAGTTTCCTGGCTAAATTCTAAACTCCATGAGGAAGGATGGGACAATTTTGGAGTCTTTTGAAAAACTTCCTTTGTAAACTTTGGCTCACGAAGCCTATCAACAGATGACTGGATAAAGAAGATGTGGGGTTTTTTTTACACACTGCAGTACTATTCTGCCATAAAGAAGGATAAGCTTCAGACATTTATAGCTAAATGGATGGACCTTGAGACCATACTCTTAAGTGAAATAAATCGGACACACATATTTAAATACCAAATTGTTTCTCTGGTATGAGAAACCGAAAGTGGAAATAAGGACTGAAATGTATAATGGATGTTGGGAAATGGGAAGAAAGCGTTCATGGGAAGGGGAACAAGGGAGGAGGGAGGAGGGAGGGAAGGAGGAAGTAAGGAAGAGACGAGAAAAAGTGAAAATAAAAGGAAAAAATGGAAACAAAAGTTTCTGTACATAGGGAGGGGAGGGGGCTTGAGGGGAGAAATAGGATAAAATAAAATTTATTTTTAAAAAAAACAAACTTTTGTCTCAGGAAGATTTTGCTCCCCCAGCTAGAAGCCACTCCCTGCCTGGAACCCAGATCTTCGGACTAAGCTGCCCAGGACTGAGCTGTGAGGCAGGAGGAAGATGAAAGATGTCAACACGGGACCAAGAGCAACAGAACTCGGCTTTCAGAGACATGGGTCTGGAGTCAATTCCTGGGCTCTTAGCTGTGTGACCTTGAGCTACTGTGATTTAACTTCTCTGAGACTAAATTTCCTCATTTATAAAATGAGAATACCAACTTCATACAAGCAAGAACGCATGCAAAAGCTGACCATGGTGGTGCACACCTATAATCCCAGCCCTGTAGAAGCTGAGGCAGGAAGATCGCTGTGAGTTTGAGGCGAGCCTGGGCTACATAGTGAGTTCAAGGCCAGCCTGAACTGCACAGGGAGACCCTGGCTCAAACACTCACACACACACACATACACACACACACACAGCACCTGGCCCACAAAGGCTTTCAACAAATGTTATATTCCTTCTTTCCTAGAAAGTGGCATGGATACTGGGCTGAGTTCTTTTGTAGGTTTTGTCTTTGTGTTGATTTTTGTATGTAAATCCATGAAACACGGCCACCTCAGTTGGTTATCTTAGCAATTCTGTTGCTACAAATTCAAGACTACAAGTTTCTATAGGCTGCTCACACTACTGGGGGGGGGGCACCTAAGTGGATGAGGGTGCTCTGGGGTAGCAGGGACAGAGGTGGGATTCTATACTTTACTTGGGCCCCAAACACTTAACAGTCTCTGACCCTTGATTTCCCCTCATCCATAAGAATGGAGCAGAAAATATCTAAATCAGTATCTACATTGTTGTGATTAAATCAGATACTCAGGAAAGTGTTCTGTGAATATTAATTTTCCCTTCCTCCCTTCTTCTCAGGACAAAGGAGGCGAAAGCCTCCAAAGAGGAGACATATCCACATGACTGCCTTGTAGAAAATGGATCTGCAAAGATTTAATTGGTGCAGAAAACAGGACTGTCACCAGAGTTGGTCGTATCACATGAGCTATTCCCAAAGCACACAGACTGAGCCAAACAACAAAAGACTTTTTCTGTGTGCTGCCTAGAAAATATCAGAGAGAGTAAAAAAGCCACTAGATCTTCAGGTCTTTTTCTATGGCAAACAAATGAGTGGTGGGACGGTGAGAGTTGGTTTCTAAGGGTTGGGGTAGCAGGGGCAACCCCATAATTATCAAGATTTTTTAAATGGGGCATTTTGTTGAAACAACAGACAGAACATGTCTGAGAACATTCCCTGCAGCCCCATAAGGACAGTGGGTCTTCAGGAAGCTGTGCCAGCAGAGTGGCAGCTCCACCTAGTACAACACCACTCCCTGCCAATGCCAGGCATTACCCCAGCCCTCATTCCAAGCTCTGGGATCAGACAGGGGTGGTGCAAGTGGAAAAGGTAGATGGAAACAGGCCCATGACTGCGCCCAAGGTGTTCCGGGAAGAGAAAAACTGTGATGAGAGCCAGAAGCCATCCATCCTTTCCTGTGGCTTCTGGCTTCCTGGAAAAGTGGGCGAGAGACCTGAGATACTAGCTGAGAGGAGCCCTGGGGAGGGGAGGGTTAGGGTGGGGAGGGTGCTCCCAACAGCCCTGAGGAAAGCACAGTGCTGGCAGAGGGGAAGAAGCCAAATGTCTTGGGGCCAGCCTCCAACTTCCAGCCGGGCTCTGCACAGCTGAGCCCAGTCCTGAGACAATCAAAAGGAAAGGTGGAACACCCCCGAGAGGAGACATTCAAGAAGAAAAAAGAAAGGATGTGATCTCAGTAAGGCTGAGGTCTCAGAGATAGATGCTGGCCCAGAAGAGCCGGGTCCCAGGGCACAAACATACTGGGAGGCTTTGTCCTGGGGAGTGAAGCCCAGCAGGGCCCTGATGGTCCCCAGGACCAATCCCACTCCAGAGGGATTCCTTTGGCCTACAAGGCAACTCTATGAATGCCACCCTTCCTCCCAAAGGTGCCCATATCCCTGAGGCTCCTCAATGGCCACATCTCCTCAGTGCTGCCAAGTCCATGAATGAGCTCATGTAAGTCCATACACTGCAGTCCGACATCAGGTTCTCGGTCACAGAGAGTGTGGCTGACTCTTTCCATCATCGCAGCCTTTCCACCCATCTCCAGACCCTCATGGTTCCTCTAAGTCCTGAGTGGGGCGCAGCAGAGGACAGGAACGTGCTCTGTCGGAATAAAGTGCAGGCAGCTGCTCAGGCACTTGGTCTGGGGAGGAGCTAGTTGCCAAGCCCATCTTGGGGCTCAAAAGCGATACACATTCAGTCTGTTGTTCTCATCCAGGCCCAGCTGCAGCAGGTTTGAAGTGGCTGTTGCCTTGGGCACCGAAGAGAAGAGAGGTCTGGTCACGAGGTGAAGGAAAATTCTGGGCAGCCAAGCATATCCAGGTGGAAGTCAAGAGGGGGTCAAAGAGGGGCCAGGGATTTAGCTCAGTGGTTCCATGACCTGCCTCACAGGCACAAGGTCCCGAGTTCAATCCCCAGTACTAAAAAAAAAAAAAAAGGGGGGGGGGTCAAAGGTAAAGCACAGGTCCAGCAGCCGAGCTCACCCAGTCAGCTGCTACAGCGGGGAATGGGGCTTGGGGGCCCGCTAAAAGGATACACTTTGGGGTCATTCTTGAAACGGTCTAGCCACTTGCGGTTGACCTCCATCATGCCCTGGATGCTGGTGCTGCCCACCTCCAGGACTCGGGAATGAGGCCGCTGCAGGAGGCGGAGCTGCTCACTAGAAAGGAGGAAGAGAAGGAGGGTGTGGGAAGAGGACAAGAGTGGGCCAAGTGCTGGGAAGGGGGATGTGTAGCAGAGCCAACTGGAGGCCATCATGCCACCTCCTCCCTCTTCCTCTCTGTACCAGCTTCAGTCTTTTAGGATCTCTCGAGCAACTCAAAACTGCCCCTCCAGAAAGACAAGCATCAGTGTCTAAAGGGGAAGGTGATAGCTGCCCTCCACCTGCTCCTGGGTGTTTGCTAATGACATCCATTCTGAGCTCCCACATCTGCCTATTCCAGCCAATCTCATTGGCAAGAAGCTTTCCTCTGTCAGCTCAAATACTGCTGGGCCTCAGCTCCCAAGTTGGCCTAAAGAGATGTTGGGGCTTGGGGTGGAGGGGGGGTGGGGGACATTTGGCAAGGAATAAGATGAATGGGAAATTAATAGCAGGTTTAAATAATTGCCCAGTCTGTCACCCCTACGGGGTGTCCCTCTCACTCCAGATGTTGCTCAGCAAGACTCAGAAGAAGAGAGATGTAGGAACCAGACAAAGAAAGAGTTCAATAGCAAAGACAAAGGCCAAACTCCAAATTCCAGGGCCAGAAGGGCCACAGAACAGGACAGGATGCATGCCCCCTCCATGGGCTGATTTCTCATGGAGCTGGCTAGGTAAGCCCAGCCCCAACAACCCCATCCCAACCTCAGCAGTAAGGACATGACTTTTCCCCAGCTGTTGAGGGGTATCTCAGACTTAGGCAAGGCAAGGGCAGCTCTGTGGACTGGGGACCTGCCTGACAGCCTGGGGCAACAGGACTATGAGGTCTGCTCCTCTCAGAGGTGCTACCTACCCACAGGGGCACAGCAAGCAGTTTGACTGTCCCACCAAACCCAATCAGGCTTACCTGGCAGACGTATAGCCCAGCCTGTTCTCCACGGGGGCAGGGCAGCTGCTGAGTAAGGGGATGCCAGCTAGAAGAGTGGGGGCAAAAGTTCAGAGACAGCAGTGAGTTAGCTGAGCCAGACCCAGTTCCCAGCAGCCCCCTCCCTGCTCACCAGCACCTCCTGCCTCCCCAGAAATAGATGGAAGGCAGGCCCCCAGAATGAACACAAAAGCAGGGAAAATTTCAGTGGCTGGAGGTGACAGACAGATGACAGACAGGAACCATTCTATTTTATTTTATCCCTAAAACTTAACTTATTTTTCAATTTGAGTTGAGAAAAAAACTGGGGTCTGGGGCAGAAAGAAGAGGGGGTTTTTTTATCTCTTTTTTATGTATTTTTGCTCAAATGACTATGTCTTATGGCTTCTCACATTCCTCAGCATGGCTATGACACCAAGAAGGCCAACAGGCCCAAAGGAAAGGGGAAGCTGAACAGTCAAGGAATCATAAGCAGAATCTTATGTCTGAGACATGGAGTCAAAACCCACTGTCAAACCTGGGGTCAAAACTCATTCGCTGGATACCCTGAAGCATATTACTTAACCTCACTGCATCTCAGCTCACTCAACTGTAAAATGGGGATAAATAATTACCACCATAGGAATTATTATATGGAGTAAATGGGGGAAAAAAATATATACATATGTATATATATATAATGCCTGGCCCATAATGATTGCACAAGATGGTAGTCATTATGACAATGACAATGATAACCTTTTAGGTTCTGCTCAACTCTAGAACCCAGAATAAAGGCCCCAGCAGGCCAGGCTCCGTGGAAGCCATCCTGACCACAGAGCCTCCAGCTGCAGGACCACCAGCAAGAGCTTCACCAGGGATCCACAGACAGAGCCAAAGGACCAAAGTAGGGGGCAGGGGAAAGAGGTAGGCAAAATAAAAAGACAAAAAGGAAAAGAGGGTAGAAGAGAAGGAAGGAAGAGGAAGAAGGCAGGAAGGCTCAGCCCAGGGCCAAAGGGAGGCTTACAGGGAAAATACTTGCGCCACTTCTCTAGCAGGAAGTCATCCACTGTTTGAGCCACAGCAGAGGAGAGCCTGGGGCCCAGCCCCGGGTCCCAGGCCCACTGGGTAGACATGGACGCCACAGGGGATGAGGCTGAGACCTTGTTCAGGGAGGAGTAGACAGGGATGGAGGAGCTCTTAGAGGATGGCGAGGAGGTAAAGAGCGGCAGCGGTGGCTGAGTGCTGAGGCTGCCCAGCACGCTGAGGACACCATTCAGCTCGCTGCTGATCCGCTGCAGGGAGCTGCTCAGGTAATGGATCTTGTTGGGGAAGCCGGGACTTGGGGTTGGACTGACTGAAAGGAAACAGGTAGGATCAAGCTTCAAGGGCTGGTGAAGCTGGTGGGGAAGAACCCAACCTCAAGGATCTGGAACATTCCAGACACAGCTGGCACTGCAGCCCCCCACTGGCTACCCCTCAGCCTCGTGACAGGGACAGAGAACAGCAGGGCTTCTGTGTTCCAGACAGAGGCCCAGGACCTGGAGGGAAGGAAAGGAGGGCCTTCTGCTCACCCACCGGCCAGAGTAGCAGAACATGGATGGCCTCCCTGGAGGCCTAGGGGAGAAAAGGCTTCAGGGACCCTCGGCAGCACTCAGAAGACATCCGTGACCCTTTTGGCACTGGGTACTGCAGACCCAGATGGGCTTCACTCCTCCCCACCATTTACCAAGCACCTAGTCCAGACGCCAACTTACACCCACCTACCCCACAGGCTGAGGGAAGGGGACTGTCACTGGGCCCTCAACATTCATCCCTCTTCAGACACTGTGGGCTTCACCTCACCACTCCCTCCCTCCTTTCCCTGCTGTTGCTACCACTCACCATAAGGCAAGGGGTGGGATATGGAACTTTCACTGCTTAGGTCTTCTGTGTCACTGAGGTCAAAGGTCACCACCTTCTTGGCAGGGCCCCCTCTCAGAGTGTCCTCATCTGAGGCCTGATGGGTGGAAGCAGCCATTAGTACTCTCCCTTCCTGTGTGCTTTCTACCTCACTGCCCCTGTGATGAGTGGAACTGAGGCCTTGGTGTTTGGCTTTTCTGGGGCCCAGAGCTCTGCCAGGCACCTGAGAGAGGCATACCATATGGGCTGGCTCAGGAGGAGGTGAGCTGAGAGAACCCTACTGCCAGATATGTAGGCAACTGGGCCATCAGGACTGGATGGACCCCACTGTTCTCTCCTACACGCTGTCCCTAGTATTTCTCCACCTGAGCTTTGCTGATGCCACATCCAAGCCCCTGGAATGCAAGGCAAAGTCTACATGGCCCCAGGGAAAGGAAGGACACCTGTGACCCATGTCTACTCTCAAATGCTAGTCACATCTCTCTTCAGGAACCGGGACAGGGAAAGGCAGAGGCCATTCCCCTTCTTTGACCCTTCACAAGAGGCTCCAGGGCTACTCACAACCATCTAAACCCACAGACATGTTTGAAAAACAGCAAGAGCCATGGTCATTTTCACCAGCCAGAAGCCCACAGCCAACACCCAATCCTGGGTCCTAGAGACCTAGCTTCTCCTAATCCAGGACCAAGGAACCCAATCCAATCCCGGGGACTAAAGAGAGAGGGCTCTCCACACTAGGCTATGGGGCCACAGGAGACACCTCTTCCTGAAGAGAGGACTCCAGCTGGTTCAGCCTCTCCTCTTTCTTCTTCAGCAGGTCGTGGCCTTTCTGCATGGCTGACTTCATCTCATCCAAGTGCCTGGTTTCCTGCAGCCAGGAAGGAAGGGGAGGAAAAATGACTAACCACACAGATGCTAGAGCCCTGGCTCTATCATGTGCTGGCTGAGTGGTCTTGAACAAATTACTGCTCAGTCTGGTTACTCATCTGAGAAAAAGAAATACTACCCTCATCAGGTTGAAAGAATTAAGTGAGACAGAGTATGTGATATGCTTAATACCACACCCACACCTAGTAAATTCTCAAATGGTTACTGTCACTCTCATCACTGCTCCAAGTGTTTATCACCATCATAGTCACCACCTTAGTCCTTTGGGGGAGTAAGGAGGGCAGTAAGAAGGCCCTGGAGGAAGCATGTACACACCCCTGGGAAGCCAGGTGGAGGGACTGCAGGGCTAAGCACCCTCAAATGTTCTTGTACCATCCGAATTAGAAGGCCTGGGTATGATCCAAGAGAGCCCACCCTGCCAGGACCCCAACAGGTGCAAAGATCTGTAACACCAGCTAACAATCTTTATCACCACAAATTAAACTATCAGAGAGGCCAACCAGAGAAGTAACTCAGTCTTTAAGCTGAGTATGTCCAAAAGATTTCCATTTACAGATTCAGTCCTTATTGTTACAGATTGGAAAAGCAGAGCACTGGACTTGAAAATTTTTAAACCTTAGTCCTACTCTTCACCTAGAAAATGAGAGTAATAATACAGGGCATCTCCTATCCAAAATGCTTGGAAACAAAAGTGCTTCCCATTTTGGAGTTTCTCAGATTCTAGAATACTTGCATAGTCTTTACTAGTTGAAAGGATTTTCAATCTGTACTACCTTGCACGTTACATATACAGTTGACATGACGTTCAAATAATTTACTATTGGAGAAGGCATTTGTTTGCACATGCTGTGTTGCCATGTAAATATGAGTGGCCCCAGGGCCCAAGTGGCCTTTCCCCTTGAATCCCCAGGATGATCAGCTAAGGAGAGCCTAAGGCAAAGATTCCACTGGTACTCTAGGCCTCCTGATACAGGGCTGGCAGTTTTCCTCCAGGCTCTGACCTCCTCCAGGTTCTTTCGCACATCTTCTAGGACCGTGCTGCCCAGTGGGTCATCAGCTTCCTCCTGGGCACTGGCCAGCTCATGGCGCCAGTGCTGCTGGGCAACTTTCAGAGCTGTCTGCCGCTTCCTCATGGAGCGTGTCTGCCGCACCAGGAACTCCTTGGCACTACGGACAGCCATCCCTTCGACAGAGAGGTAGTGCTGCATGCTACAGGAGGACAGGCAGGCAAGGGAAGTGGAGAAGCAAAGACAAGACTTTAAGGACCCTGCTCTGGGACCCATGGCTACTTACTCAGCAAATACCACCCTGAGTACCCGCAGGAGCTGCTGAGAGGCAGCTGGGCTGTGTGCAGGGCACCACTGTTAAACACCTACAGCTTGTGGCACATAGGACTAATAGTCCCTCTACCCTGATTCTCAAAGGAATGTGCCTGGAGCCTGCGAGCTGATGGCTGGACACTCACAGCAGTCTGATCCTCAACCAGAGGTCAGCAGACGCCAGCATGCCATGTCAAGGGTCACAGTGGGCTGCTTCTGGACGTCTCTGAGCCTCCCCCAGAAACCAAGACCCAGTGGTAGTCACTGTCACCTCAGCTCTGTGACACAGGCTCTCACTCACCCCTTCATGGTGCCCTCAACCTGGAATAAAGCAGAATGTAGAAACTCACCTGTCTGCGGACAAGATGGTCTCCTCCTTGCTCTGGGAGAAACGGGAGGCTATCTCTTGGGTTTGGGTCTATGAACATATGATAGAAAAGACCCACTGAGTGTGGCAAAAGCTAACACCCTGCAGGCTTAAGAGATCCTGAAGCTCTTCCCAGTGGCTGGACAAGGAAAGGGCTCTGCCAGCTGCCAGGCACTCTTCACTTATAGGTACCACTTGACTAGTGGAGATGGCCGGAGGCCGGGTCTAAGAAAAGGAGGCCAGGTCCCAAACACAGCAGAGCCAGGCCCCCCTCCTGATGGCCACCCTCCTGCTGCTCCCCCCTATCCTGGCCCCAGCTCACTGTCCCAAATGATTTCTTCAGGTCCTCAATGTGGATATCCGGCTCAAAATGTGTGGACGAATTGTTTTCCTGAACCGCCAGCTCTTTTAAAATGTTCTGTTTCCTCTGAGCTTCAGCCTCCAGGCTGCTGTGGTAGGGAAGGGACAGGGAGGTGGGGATGTGAGGCAGGGTCACATCATGACCAGGCCAGGCAGCACACTGTCAAGACCATTTCCATGCCCTTGTTCACGTCAAAGTCCCCAGCAGGGCTGAGACATAAACAGTAGAACCAAGGATCCTGCTCTTCACAGCCTCAACATGCTACTCCCTACAAAATGGAGCAGACACACATCCTTCTGCCTGGCCTCCAAGTTGGGCCCTCCACCTCTCCCTATCAACTGGGCCCTGATGAGATGGGGCCTGAGAGCAGCAGTGGTCAGAGGGAGGGAGGGAGCTGGCCAGGTGGCCAGGTGCAGGGTGCCCACACCACCTGATGCGTCTCTGCAGCCTCTGACTCTGCGCCTGCAGCAGATCCACTTCGGACTCCAGCTCCACCTTGCGGGCCTGGAGCTCATCCAGAGTCCTTCGGAGCTGCCACTTCGACTCCACCATGTGGGTGTGCTCCTTCTTTGCCTCTTCCAGGTGCTGATGGGTGGCTGTAGCTTCCTGGAGGTGGAAGGAAAGATAGAAGCACCCAGAGACACAGTAGGGAGAAGGCAAAGGCAGGGTACAGGCAGCCCTTGAGAGTAAGGAAGCCAGAAAAGACATGAGCAGGGAAGCCAGAAAAGACATGAGCAGGGAAGTCAGCGACTCTGAAGCCACTGTCTCTGGGGTCAGAGGTCTGAATGCTCCTAGCCTCCTACACAGCCCACACCCTGAGGCTCCTGAGTCAGGGTCCACAGTGGGGTCCACAGTGCCCTGGACACAGCAGGGGGCCTGGAGAGGGTGAAGAAAAAACAAAGGAGGGAGAACAAGAGAGACAGACCAACCTCACTCTCCAGAGCAACCTGCCTCTGTACATCAAGCAGCTGCTGCTTCTCCTTCCACACAGTCTCCTCCTGGGGGTTGGGGGGGATATGAGCCCTTGGGCTGACTGCAGACCCCAGATATGAGGGGTTGAGGGGTAGGGCCCACCCTGCTCTGGAGAAGGGGACCTCATGGCCCCTCTAGGGCCCCTGTAGATCTATCCTCCTTCCCAATCCCCTCACCTGGATATCTAGCTGAGCCATTCTGGCCTTGATATCTTTAGTTCTGGTTTCAAGTTCCACCTCTAAGTCTTGGAGTTTCCTTTCCTGTCCAGGAGTATAGCGGAGAGAGGATGTAAGTGTGGAAAGGGTGTAAAGCATTAGCTGAGGGAGGAGGGGGTTCCAGAAACCACCATACCACACTACAGCCTCTGGGCAGGGCTCAGGCTGGCTTCCTCCCTGTGACCCCATGCCACCTCCCAGGAATGGACCACACCTTGTCTTTCAGTGGGGACAAGCAGAGACAGATGTGCCAACCCCAAGCCTAACGGGGATAACCTCCCCTCCTAATCCTAGACATTTTCCCTGGCCCAGAAAACAAAGGAGTAAAGAGGCCCCAAGCTTCAGTATGGGCAGAGAGACAGCTGAGTGTGGTGGTGTAATCCCAGCACTTAGAAGGCTGAGGCAGGAGGATCACCACAAGCTCAAGGCCAGCCTGGGCTACACAGTGAGTTCAAAGCCAGCCTTAACTACACACAGCAAGATCCTGTCTTAAAAAAGAAAATATGGGCAGAGAAAGAACCCCCCCACACCCCAAAGCTGTTGTAGCTCCATCCTGCTGTGGTAGCTTCTGACTCTCAGCACTTTCCCACCCTGCACAGATGTGTACCAGTGGGCCCCACCCAGGCCTCAACCTGGTCCCGGTGCCGGTGCTGCAGGTGCTGGAGCTGCTGCTCCTGCTCCTGCCTCACAATCTCCAGTTCTCGCTCATGGGCTCTCTGAAGCCGCTCCAGCTCTGCAGTCAGGTGCCCCAGAAGGTCAGCCCGCTGCTTCCTCTCCTGTAAAGGCATGAGGAACTGTGGGTAGGAACCTGCGGGGCTCCTGGTACTTCCCAAATCAGTCTCCTCCACCTCTTCAGCCTCAGGCAGGTACAGTTGGGGTCACTACCTGCACCCCAAGGCCAGCTCTCAGTCCCAGCCCCCCTGACACCAGCAAACGAAGCAGATGTTGGTCAGACACCATGGAGGAATCCCCTTCCTGGCTCTGTGTACAACGTTTCCTCTTTAAGGGAAGAAAATTCATTCATCAATTATCACTAGTCCTCAGCAAGGTCAGAATTGCCTTGGGAAGGCAGGAGGCTAAATTTCATCGTGGGACTACAATGTCTGCCCCAGAGGACTGTAATCTGGGGTATGGATTCCAGCTACTGGAGCAGGAGCCTAAAAATCCCCCGCAGGCCCAGCTGTGGTCTAAGGTCCCTACCTATCCACCCCCAACATGAGCAAGCCAAGCCAGCTAGTGACCACTCAAGTAACTGAACATTCCCACCTCAAGGCCAAAGATGAAGATGGGCCAATAATATCTAAATATTGTTTAGTTCTTACCAGTTTATTTCTTGGCTTCCTGAAATTTCCATTAGCCCTGGTGGCCTGCTGTTGGAATGACTAAAACTGAGGGCTTTGGAGTTGGACAGCTGTGCTGGAACCCTGACTCCCTTGCTAATTAGTGGATCTGGGGAAAGTGACTTGAACTCTCCAAGACTGAGAGTCCTCTTTTTTAAAATTGAGATAATGACAACACACACTTCCCAAGGCTGTTTCAAGGTCTCAAAGGGTGGAGATAGTAAAGAGCTTAGCACAGCGCAGGGCACACAGTGCAAGCTCAGTACGTCAGATACTATTTCATTAGAGAGCGTAGCCTGACTGAGAGCAGCAGCCTGCCATGAAGGGCGCCAGGGAGGAAAGCCCCCCATAATCCCTGACCACAGGTGGTTGCTTCCCCCACACACAGCTGGCTGGGAAGGCAGGGGGAGGGGGGAGGGATGCAGTCGAACTACCTCGGCTTCATACCGCTCTCGGGCCTCAGTCATGGCTTGCCAGTGCTCTTCCTTCATCTTGTCCAGCTTTCTCTCATGCTCCCTTTCCACCTCCTGGCGCTTCTCTCGCAGGAGGCTGCTGAGCTACAGGATGCACAGCAGGAATGCAGCATGCAGGACTGAGATGGGCAGCGCCGGGGCACCTCCCAAAGTCCCCATCCACACCACACACATACCTCACACACACCTCCCCAACACAGCTTCCCCATAAGCACAATGCCAGGTCCTAGGGACAGGAAGACCTGGCCCTGCAGCAAGCGAGGTGAAGAAATAGAACCCAAGTGCCAACCCCTGCTGAGCCATGCAAACAAAGTGGGGGCCACTCGAGACAGGATGGTCAACCAGACCACCATGCAGCCTGCAACACCAACCAGAACTTACCTCCTGCTCATACTCAATCACCTGGTGAGCCTTCTGGTGTGCTCTCTGCTCTGCCCACACAAGGTTTTCTTGAAGCTGGGCTGCCTCTTTCTGCTCAGCTTCCTCTATCTTCTTCTGGAGGCTGGAGACCACCTGAGGAGGTGCCATGTGATACTCAGGGACATGGTAGAGCCACCATGTGGGGACCCGCACTCAGGACCCCCACACCAATCCCAGGGGCCTGGAAGGAGAGGGAGGTTTGCGCCCTAGTGGCCAGAGATAAGATGTTCATCTGATGACCAGCATGAAGGAGTCCCGGGGTGAGTGGGCTGCCCTCTCAGCCCTGTCTCACCTCCCTGTGCTTGGCCTTCAGTGAGGAACAGAGCCTCTCCAGCTCAGCACTGTGCTCCTTCTCCAGCGCTGCCACTGCCTGGGGAGCAACAAAGGACCTGTGAGGAAGCTAGCCAGACAATGACCATAGGAAGGCAAAGTCAGGAAGACCACCCCAACCTCCTCCAAATGAGGGACTAAGAGAAATCACAGTATGCTGCTGTTCATTTGAAATAGCTCAGTCCCTCAGGGACTGCAACTGGCAAAAGGACAACATGAAGGCTGGAGCAGAGGGCCATTCCAGCAGGCCTCAGGTCCCATTCCCATGCCTGGCCTCTGGGTTAGCCATGGAAAGGATGATGTGGCTGTGAATAAGACCAAGCCAGGGAGGCTGGAGCACTGCATGTTCTCTCTAAACACCTGCAGACAATGACACCCCGTCACCTTGCTGCAGTTTTTCCATGTCTAACAGGTAACACTCACTGCTCACCAAAGGAAAAGAAATTTCTATATGGCCTGCCTGGCACATTGGTGTCTACCCTGGAGTTAGATCATCAGACTGAAGGGACAGGTAAGGACAGAGGAGAAAGCCCCTTCCAAGATGCTGCTCTCTCATTCTAAGACTGGAGAGAAAAGCAGGGAGACAAAAGCCTCTGAGCGACAGCTCAGGGACAGGGACAAGGACAGGAAGCCCTCATCTCAAGTCAAGTTGTCTGGTCTGGCTGATATTCTGTCAGTTGTGAAACCTTCCCAAACCACAGGACATTTCCCCCGAAAGCCTCTGATGACTCCCTGCCACTGATAATACCCAGCTGTCACTGCCAGTCCAGCCGGACCCTGGAGGGCCTCTGGACACCTGCTGCATCTTCTGCCAGGCCAAGGAGACCAGGGCCAGCCCCCGCAAAGAGCTGAGTCAGGTTTACAAAGAATAATGGACCCAGTCTGCTCGTTTCCCAGGCCTGCCTGCCTGCATGTGATACCACTGTGCCTGGTACCCCACCTTGACACTCACTCGCTCATTTGAGGCGTGCCCTTCTTCTTCCTCTGCCTCAGTCCCTCCCCAGACAGCCCAGAATCACAACAGATTGAGATCCCCATTTGACTTGCTCACTTCTTTCCTCTCCCCTTCCAGCTGCTCCCTCAGTTGCCACAAAGCCTCTTCCTTCTCGGTCTTCAAGGCAGCCCGTGCTGTCTCCTCCGAAGCCTCTAGCTCTTCCCTGAGTTGTTCAAGCGTCCACCTGCTTTTCTGTTCCAAGCTGGCCCTCTCAGCCTTTTGTAGGGCCTCAAACTCTTCTCTTAGCCTCTGCAGGGATACCTCCTGCTCGGCTCTGGGCAGAAAGAACAGGATGGGGACAGGCTCTGGAGTGTCACCTTCGTGGGGCTGCACGCCTCCCAGTGTGTACTCACCTGATTCGCTCCTCATCTGCTTCTGCACTAGACTGGACCTGGGCTCGGAGCCAGGAGAGCCTCTGACCCTCCTCCTCTTTCATCCGAGCTTCCTCCTCCTCAGTGGCTTTCTCCAGCTGCTCCTTCAGGGAACTGAGCAGCAAAAGAAAGGCAAATTGGTCAGAGGGTCCAGAGGTATTTCCTGCTCTATTCATATTCCCTGCCTCTCTGCCTTCAGGAGCCACACAACATCCCCAGTATTAAAGAGAAATCTAACCTCAGCCTCTGGGTTCATTGTGCCTCCCTATAATGCCTCCTTATGAGTGAACCTCACTCTTTACCACAGGAAGCAGATCTCAGGCTGTTTGGGCCCAGTACAGTGTCTCTTCACAGGCTCCTTCACCTACAGGTTCAACCTGGGTATGGCACTCACTCAAGGAAGGTTACAGCCACCCAACCTGACTCTGGATCTGATTCTTCCATTCCCCATCCTTAGAGACACCGTTCTAGGTGCATCAGAAGTGTCATCAACCCTAAATCCCACCACACTCTTCCTTGCCTCTTGGCCTCTGCTCATGCTAATTCCTCTGCCTAAAATTTTTTTTTCTCCTGAAAAACTCCTATTCATCACTTAACCCACAGCTCCTCCTCTCTGAGATGTCTTCCCAACGCTCTCAAAGTTCATCATTTCAACATCCCTACCACACTTTCTTTATGGACCTTTCTTATCCGGTGCCATCCTGATCACACATTGTAATTTATGTTTTCCTTGCAAGGCGGGGAGCTTCTTTAGAGCAAGAATATTGTTTTAAAATCTGTTATACCCTAAAAGCACACAAGGTATAACAGACATAAAGTGTGTCCTGGACTTGAAGAGCATCATCTGTCCCCAAACTGTAACCAAGCCGTGACAACCCATGAAAGGTATCTATCTACAGACCAGTGACTGACCATTTCACCCTAAGCACACAAACTACCCTGCTCACACAAACTACGGCCTTTTTGGGTACCTGCCCATGCAGCCCACAGTACCAAGAGATGTACACTATACACTCAGGGAATTCAGACCTAAAAACAACATTATTCCAAAGACAATTTCTTTGAAAAGCTCTGCAGTGAAATCCAAAGCCAAAAAAAGATTTAGGATTGTTTCCTATTTCAAGTTATCAGCACTACCACTCTCTTCCATTATGAGATGGAATTTGAGTTAAGCAAAAATCCTTCATTCTAGATTCCCAAGAAACCATTTCTCTTTTCCCCATAGCTAAATTTACACATAGCAACACAAAATGTTAGAGCTGGCAGGAACATTAGCAGTGAAGTCCAGTGTTTTCATTTATAAGTAAGAAACTGAGGGTCAGCCTGCCTGTCTTTTTCCACCTGCCTTCTCATTCAAGAAATATTTTTATGAGATCATCTGTGGCTTACACAATCTTCTACCCAGAGGAAGTTTCCCAGTAGAGAGGAAGCCCCATCCCATAGAAAACCTCTAGAGTAAACAGAAACAGGGTTCTCTTGATGAGCTACTCTGAAGAGAAACCAGGTAAGGCTCTACTTACAGAGAAATCACTTAGTCAAGACTGGCTAAAACTGAAGTTTCAACTGAAAATAAAAGCAAATGCTAACATTTATGGAGCATCCACCATGTTCCAGGCCCTGATCAGACATTTTCAGGATGCTACTGTTCACCACAAACTAGGATGGCTCTTGGAAGATCCCTAGGTTCAAGGACAGGAAATGGAAAGCATAGGAAGCCAAGCAAGGGTGGCCTGGGAGAGGGACAAGCTTGGTGGGCAGAGAAGGAGGCCCCACCAAGTCCCCTCCTCCTATATCTTAAGGTAAATGGAGGCCCAATCTGCTTGGGTAGGCCCCAGCCTCAATCTTTGTTTGCTAGAAGAGGATGGGGGGGGTGGGGGGGTGGAGGCTGGGGTCTGTTCTTTGGGAACATCCTAGAAGGGGACCCAAGGGGCCATGACAGAAGGACAGACTTTGCAGATCCTGTGTGGGCTCATGGGAGGGATTGCCCCCAACCCTCTCAGTGCTCAGGTGTTGGTTTTCTGTCCTATTTTTTCCAAATTAAGCATAAAGGTTTTATATACACACATATATACATGTATATAAAATATTTTCTATATTCTATTATATTCTATTACATTCTAATATATTATTGTATATTATATTTATATTTATTTTATTTTTCTGTATATGATCTAAAAATAATAACTCTTTACTCCTTTTGAATGTTCTGCCAAAAAGGACAGAAGTTATCTGTTAAAATGCCAAGTAAATGAAATACATTAGCGCTTTTTTATAACATCTTCACCACCCATGGACTTACCTTCTCAATGTCCATTTGCCCCCTTTTTTTTTCAATCCCCTTTTCCTTCCCCCTCCCTCCATCTCGATCCTCTTCTCATTTGAGATGACCTATCTCCCTACTTCCTATTATCTATCTCTTATTTTGCTCTTTGTCTTTTCTTTATCCATTCATCTGTTGATGGTCATAGAGACTGCTTTTAGGATTTAGGTATTATGAATCGTGCTGCTATAAACATGGATATGCATGTATCACTGTGATAGGATGTCTTTAACTCTTTCAGGAAGATATCTAGAAGGGGAATAGCTGGGTCAAATGGAATTTCTAGCTTTAGTTTTAGTTTTTTGAAGAATCTCTATACTGATTTCCATAGTGGTTGTACTAGTTTACAATCCCACCAACAATACAGAAAGGTTTCTTTTTCCCCGAAGTCTCTCCAGATTTATTATTTAATTTCTTGATGACAGCCATTCATTCTGGGATAAGATGGGATCTCAATGTTGTTTTAATTTGCGCTTCTCTAATGGCCAGCAACGTTGAACATTTCTTTATGTATTTATTGGCCATTTGTATTTCTTCTTCTGTGAAGTATCTATTTATTTCCCCTGGCTATTTTTTCATAGAGTCTTTCATTTTGAGGGGGTTTGATTTCTTAAGTTCTTTATAAATTCTAGATATTAGTTTCATTCTCTGAGGAAAAGCTAGAAAAGAAATTTTTCCCCAACCTGTAGGCTGTCTTTCCTTTTTTTTTTTTTTTTGGTACCGGGGATCGAACTTGGGTCCCTGTGCTTGTACACCAGGCGGTGAAACCACTGAGCTAAATCCCTGGCCCGTGTCTTTCCTTTTTTCTTATTAACAGAACCCTGATTTTATTTTAGCACCTAAAGAAGCTGTAGGACTGCATTTCCCAGTCTCCTTGCAACTAAGGCTGACCAATGAGATATTAGCAGAAATTATTGGGTAAAGTTTCTAGGAGGATCCTTGGTGGAACCATGGCATCCTAGTGGTGTCCAGGGCAAGAAAGGGGTGTCCCTCAATCCACATGGCCCTGAATAACCAAGGGAACAGGCCACAGGGGAGGACAAGGACCTAAGGGACTTCTCCTTTCTCTGGTGAAGCTGGAGCATCTCCTCTTCCTCCTCTTGCCACAGCTTTTCCCGCAGCTGCTGCATCTTCTCTTGCTGCAATTCCAGCAGCTGCTTCCGGTCTTTTTCAAGTTCCTGCGCCACTGCCTCTTCCATGACCTTTAGTGCAGGCTCTGCGAACTGTTTTGTGGGACCTGAAGGTTCTGTGGATGGCCTGCAGGAGGGGAACAGCTTATCACTGCAGAGTTACTATCCATCTACCTCCAACACTGAGTTCCAGGAAGACACAAAACATCCCACAGAGAATCCTAAGGGAGGGTCCAGGGTCAGAGCCACAATCCCAACTCAGGCCACACAGAACAGGCAAAACAATGCAGCCAACAACTGCACTATAGAACAAGCCCACTGTGGCTGAATAAGCCCAAGGCCCCAAGGAGAAGAGTAGCCCAAGGCAGGCTCTCATCACAGCTGGTAGGTTGTGACCTGAGGTTGAAATCTGAAGCTTAAGAATTGGTGGAAGCAGGGAGAGTGAAGTGCTGTCCCCAATGGATTTTTCCCCACAATGGCTCAGGGCCTTGTTTCCATGGCCCCACTAGGACTCTGCTTGCTCTATGAGATTCATGCCAGCTATCTGGAAACAGTCCCCAGAGACTGCTCTCTGCCTCCCAAACTGAGTGGAGACCAATGTACATGAACTCGCAGGAGAAGCAGCAACCCTGAAGTCTGCAACAGTCCTAGAAGCCAGGCACAGTGGCACACATCTGTAATCCTGGCTCTCTGAAAGGCTGAAGCAGGACGGTCACAAGTTTGAGCCCAGCTGGAGCAACTTAGCAAGACCCTGTCTCAAAATTAGAAAAAAAAAAAAAAAAAAGCTGAGGATATGGTGGTATAGCTCAGTGCAAAGGCTCTGGGTTCAGTTCCCAGTTCTGGGGGAAAACAGCCCATAGAGGTCCAGGAAATGGGAAACTCCCCTCCCTCACCACTAAGGGAGCCAGGCTGATCCTTCTGAGACAAAAATGTAGCAAAAGTGCAACAGCGGTTCTATGCTGTTTCCCCGGCAGGTTTTCATCTCCTCAGAGTTTATTCATTGTTTGAAAATGGGTGAAAGAAATTCAGAGCTAACCTGAATGCAGACACCGGTGGCAAGGAACATTGGTATTAGTTTACAAGATGTCTATATAGAGCAAGGAGGGTTGTTGTTTTGTTTTCCGGTTCTTCAAGGAATACTCAAAGTGAAAGTTAGAAAATCTCCAGCAATGAAAGCCTAAGCAGGATAGTGTTTCACATCCTGAAGTGACTTTCTTAAGACCAGTCCACGCTTGCACTCCCTAGTCCCTAAGCCATGAGACAAAATTTGATGCTCGGGCTGCAGGCCTGGCACAGTAGCTCAGTCCACCTCAGCAGGAACATGTGGGCAGAACCCAAATCAAAGAGGACCCAGCAAGAGTCAAACAGAGATGCTAGTCCCCCCTGCTGAGGACTCAAAGACACTTCTCCCCCCAGCTCTACACCATAGCAGATGGAAGGCAGCGGGCAGGAACAGATCAGAACAGCACAAGAAAACAGGGCTTAGGAATCCCACTGCAGCCCTTGATACCAGAGAGAGGAGGAGAAAAGCAGCTGAAATACCGTCAAGACCCATCCTTTCCTCTTTCCTAAAACCAGAACCGAGACCAGAATTGATCTTGAGCCACGCCTTCAAATCTTTTCTGCTCCTGGCTCCATGTCCTCTCCTTTCAGATCCTGGCTTCCTCTCAGTCCCCTGACAGTCTGACTGATGCAGATGTAAGTGACATGGCTGCCATCTCCTTTGAGAACACTGCCCTCGGAAAGAGCCTCCCCCCTGCAGCTCTCTGCCTCATCAACCCTCCAACTCATTTCCAACCTTGGCTGAAAACATCTTTTTTCCCTGCAATGGTACCTTAATGTCTGTCTCCCTTGTGGGCTGTGCAGCTATGTGGAGCCCCAGGGACCGATGCTGCAGGAAGATGGGGCATCAGATCGCATGGCAGCACATGCCCAGGCTGCATGCACCAATGAGCCTGCTCTTGCACCTGGCATGGCAAATGAGGCTGTTTTTCACTGGGCCTCTTCTGCCTCCCCGGGGTATCCAGAGTGCTTCGCTTATGTCCAACACAATGAACAACGCTCACAAGATCGAGGGGATGATTGGAAAGCTGAAGACACCAGAGGAAGAGGCAGGTCTGATTTCTAGGCCAGCCCACCAGGTGTCAGCCTTCATAAGACCCAGTTTCCAACAGTGAGTGACAAAGGGAAGGCTCTGTGGGGTATAATCAATTCCAGCTGGCCACCCAGTAACTTGGGGACATGGGGGACATTCGAGGGAAAGCAAGGTAGGAAGGCAGGGAGGGAGGAGAAACAGAGAGTGGAAGGTAGGAGAAATGTCACCCCAGAAACATTCTGAAGTGGTCGTACTACCAATAAAGCTGGGATTGGAATTAAAAGGATTGCATGTCCTGTCACATTCAACCCAGTGGTTTTAATTCACTTCCTATCTATCTCTCTGCAACCCTCACAAAAAACATTAAGAGACAAAGAAGAGGCTATCCCTGTGTCCCAGGCCCAGCCTTCTAGCCACTCTCTCTCACCTGCAACCTGTTCCTAACCCTTTTGTCCAGCTGTCAGGCACAGAACTGCTCCACCCAACACCCCAAAAACCAAGAGATGCCTCACGTGGCTAGGAAGATTAGTTAACAGGAAGTCATGGAGCCTGAAAAGACTCAGGAAAGGAAGAGAAGGCACTTCCTGAGGTGACAATGCGCCTGAGCCTGCAGTCAAGGAGAGTATCTTGAGAACCCAGCCCAGGCAGCATCACTGGGATGGGAGAAAAACACAAAGTCGGGGCATCAACCAGCCAAAGCAGCCAGCAGGAAACCAGAGCCTCAGGCTTTCCTCCAGAGGGAGGGTCAGAGGAAGAGGCCCCTCTGACCTCTGCCTAGATTTTCCTCTCTGAACGACATTCAGAAAGCACCCTGCTCTGCGTGTTACAGCCAGCAAGGTAACTTGGGAGGGTCACTTGATTCCCATGTTGCGGTTTCTCCACACAATGTATTGCTGTCTGAAAGATGTGGCTACCCTGCCCCTGCATGCCTTCTGCAATGTTACGGCAATCACATGCCATCATGAGCTCAGGTGCCCTGCAGCTCAGGGTGACACTGCCTGTGAGTCATCAGTGCAGAAACCTGTTTCTGCTCACAGTCAGCCCCAAGTCCTTTGTTCCTCTAGCTCACAGAAGGAACAATGCATAAATCGTGGTGCCTGTCTTTCCCCATCTAGAGAAAAGGCTACAAACCAAAAGGCAGAAGTCTGGGGCTGTAGTGATGAGAGTCTAGTCCTAACTCTATAACTAACTAGTGATTCAACCTTGGCCAAATCTCTGCACTCAGAGCCTCCATTTCCTTATCTGAAGAGTCTCAAAAGCATATTGAAGGGGCTGGGGATTTAGCTCAGTGGTTTCGCCACCTGCTGCGCAAGAGCAAGGACCCGAGTTCAATCCCCAGTACCAAAAAAAAAAAAAAAAAGCATATTGAGCTCTGAGCCCAGACACACAAAATATATCCTGTATACTGTGTAGTTCTGTTTATATAAAAGTGCAGAACAAGAAAAACGAATCTATAGATAGAAGCCACAAGAGTGGAGACCTGAAGTGGGTGGGCTGAGGGGACATGAGTAAACATTATCTGTCAGATCTGAGTGGTGGCTATGTGGTACGCACACATGCAAACAATCACCGACTCATACACTTCAGATCTGACCACCTCAATAAATAGTTTGCAAGAAAAAAACAGTGCTTGGTAGAAAAGGAACATGATTTATAGGATTTCTGCTAATGAACCAGAAGGGTGCCCTCTTATCTACCTCACACCTTGGGTCCTGGCCAGGAGCCCCAGGATCTAAGCTAACCCACACAAGGATCAGCAGTGGTGAGAGCATGGGGCTCTCAAGGCTGCACACAGAGCACCAGGGATGTAGTCTATCTCCCCCTGCACCTCACTTCCCAGGCCAGAGCAGCCCCTTCCCACCACCCAAGAATGGGCACTCCAGCAATCTATGTACAGTGAGGACAGGGACAGACACATAAAATTGGCCCTTACACCTCTGGAGAGACTGGTGGGATGGCACTGACTGCCACCCTCTCCTTGGGCTCCTCGGTCTCTTCCTGCCCAGGGCCCAGATCCTTGGACTGGCCCCTCTTGTGGGCAGCTGCTGGGCTTGGGGCCTGGTCCCTTGAGAACAATAAGGAAGCAACTGTGTTAAAGCCAGGGGAAAGGCAAGTGAAGGAAGTGCTCAATGGATGCTGCTGATCGAGCATCACTGCTACTTAGTCTCCCCAGTGCCTCATCCTAACCAGGTGACTCCTAAGACCAGCACCTTCTGCCTTCTGGGGGCAGAGGCACTGGCAAATGTGCACTGGACTCTGGACCAGGTTGGGATGAGAAGGTCCTCTCAGCTGTCTCAGTGAGCCCTGAGTGTGTACAGCTTCCCCTCGCTGGACCTAGCACACAGCAGGGCTCTAGCTGGTATGCTGAGTGACCAGACTGCTGACAAGTGAGGAGGGACAGGGAGAAAGGGCCCTCCTGGCAAGAAAGGAGCAGCCAAGGCAGTAGCAAAGACTCTGTCCCAATCCCTGGCAGAGAGGCCATGGGGACAGAAGAGAATCTTTAGTGAAGAGCTCCTAAGCTCCCCTGATCAGGCTGGCTACCCCAATTTCAACAGTAGACCGAGGAGAAGGATGAAGCAGATTTCCTCATTCTTCAGTTCCTGCTGCTGCTGCTGCTGCTGCTCCTCTGGCCCTGGCTCCAGCCTCCACCTCCAGGCCCACCCCACTCCTCTGTCTTCCTCTGTACCAGTGCAGACACCCATGGCACACAGAGGGGCCACCATGACCCAGGGGCACTTCTCCCTCACCCTTACCTCTGGAGGGACACCAGCAGGATGGGGCTGGTTACGGAGTCCTCCTCAGGCTCCCCTGCTTCCATCCACTCAGGGGTCTTTGGAGGCCCTTCTTCAGTGACCTGACTATGAAGGGGACTCTGGGGCCGCTCCCCATGTAGAAGTGGAGGAGACAACCTGGTTTGGTGAGCCAAAGCAGCAGTGTCAGACCCTCCATTTGGTGGAGAGTGGGAAGAGAATTTGGGAGTGCAGTGTGCATCGCTGGGTCAATGGCTGCTGCCCAGCTAGACCCCAACCCCTGCTCCAAACCCAGACAGCCGCAGGGCAAAGCAGCCAGATGTGCAGCAAGGAGACATTCCTTCTCTTTTTGCCTGGACTGCCTAGACTAAAATCAGGCTCTGCAGCTCCATGCGCTGCACCGGCTTGTCTAGGAGTGAGAACTGTACACACTCACATGCATGTCCATTCCCAGAGTGCACCATCACTAGGACTAGGGAGAAATGGAAGAACTAAGCGGAAAATAAAGAGAAAAAGAGATACCAGACTCGGCTGGTCAGATTATAGATATTCTATGAGGCTGTAGCATCAAGAAAGTAAGAATGCTGAGAGTTTTCCAAGGTCTAAGAGGAGGATGACTACTGTCCTTTCCCTTCCAGGGTGGCGGCCCTTCTCCATTCATAGGCTCAGGCCAGAGAAACTAGGAATCCCAGGGGGTCAGTCACACACACACACCACATTCATCTCTGAGCTCAGAATTGTAGTACCAACCCTGCAGCATGACTCCACTCCCCAGGCCTTTAACAGGCTACTTCAGTCCTGGCCTGGGACCAGGTGCACACAATATAATCAGCCCAACCCAGGGAGGAGGACAGAGCCTCAGCCCCACCATGGTGCCATGTGTAGTCCTGCCAAACAGTGCTTAACATTCCTATCATGCAGCTCCACAGGGTACACACACACACACACACACACACACACACACACTTTGCACAGCCTCCCAGCCAGTTCACCATCTGCCTTTAGGCAGGGGGCAAACTGAGCCACACCAACCACGAAAGTCAGGAATTCTGCCCAAGTCCACACCATCTTGAAGGCACACCATCCCTCAGCTCTCCAAGGATATCCTCCCACATATTATACCTCTCTGAGCCTTTGGACTGCTTGCTCTGGAGCTCTGCTCGGCTGGACTGGCTGCCATCCTGGTCTCCTCTTCCTAACCCCTGAGCCTGTAGACAAGAAGCAGCGGAAAGTATATTAGCAGGGTCTGCATTGTAGGGGTCTCCCCCTCCTGCTGACTCCATGCTTAGTAGAAAGCACTGAAGAAGTTCGATCCCCAGTACAAAAAAAAAAAGAAGGAAAGAAAGAAAGCATTGAAGAGTGGCTCTCAAGAGGCTAGGGGCCACATGGGACACAGAACCAAAGGCCTTCCTGTGATGGACCTTCCTGGGCCCTGACTAAGCCCCAGGCTCATAGTAGAGGAGGAAACATATGACCCCAACCACTACACACAGGGCCAGGGGCCTGGGGCAGAAAGGGAACACACAAGAAAAACAAAACCTGCCTCCTACTGCTGGAAGCCTGCACTGCCATCTGCAAAGAGAAAGCAGAGAGATCCCTGACCACCCACATCCACTGAGGTCTTGATCAACTGTGCCAATGATACTGCTAAAATTAAGTAGGCAGAATGGAGGGCAGCTGGTAAGTATATCAGAAAGAAAGGATCCTGGGGAGCTGAGTTCTTGGTGAAGCAACAGAAGGCTGTGCCCCAGAACAAAGGGGTGCCTTCTGGCATCTGGAAGGAGGCAGAGACTGGCATTCCTGCAACTGCTCCACTTGGGGCTTGCTGGGGACATGGGTCCCATCCCAGGACAATGACACCCACTCCCAGCCAGAGATTAACATCCATTCAAAAATAAGCCCCAAAATCTTATTTGAAACTGTGGATGTCTAGGCAAATTAAGCAAATTGGTTTAAAAAAAAAAAAAAAAAAAAGGACTGGGGGGCTGGGGATTTAGCTCAGTGGTTCCACCACCTGCCTCACAAGCGTAAGGTCCCGAGTTCAATTCCTGGTACCAAAAAAAAAAAAAAAGATTATTTGTGATGATTCAAGTGTTTCCCAGAGTATAGCAGTGCAGTCAGCCTGGGGTCCACCCTCTGTGCTAGCACTTTCTGACTGGGAAGTCTGCCTCCTCCACTGTGCAGTGGGATAGCAAGCCATAGCACCCAGGGCTTCTGCTGAGGATCAAATGAGATCATGTACATAAGCCCAACTCCTGGCCCAGAGAAGGCACACCATGAATGTTAGCTGCTCTTCCCATATGCTTCTTCCTCTCCCCAAGACTGAGGCAAACAAAAAATAAAAAGGAAGAAAAGAAAAAGAAAAGCCTTTGCCAGTGCCAGTCCCCATTCTAGGACGTGTACTCCTTCTGTCACCCCAACAGGAGCCCCATCTGTTCTAGGACACAAGGGTGAACAGGAGAGATGGGCAGGAGACAGCTCACTCTATCTTCCCAAGAGGGGTCCCTAGCCCTGTGCCCACCCCCCACCCCCACCTCTCCACTGGCAGCCTGAGCCCCAGCAGCTGTGGCTAACTCTGCCATCTGGATGGGCAAGGAAGGGCATGGCTTGAGCTAACACCCAGCTCGCCCAAATTACATTAAAAATAGCAGTGCTGCCTGTGAGTACCTCGTGGTGCCTGCAGCAGAAGGGCTCCCTGCCAGGGCTGCCATTCCTCATCCCATCAGCCAAGCCAGAGCCTGCACACAACAACAGGGGCATGCAGCGCCCCCCAACCCCGCACCGTGTTTCCAGTACTCAACTCACAACATGTCTTCCTCTGAAATCCACACCAACCTCATCAAATATCTCCCTCTCTCACTTTTCAAGGAAAAAAAATGGCACAGGTCAACTCCATTTAACAAACTAACAAAGTGCAGTGATCATAGTAATTGAGGGACAGAGCCCTGAGTCAGAAAGGACTCCAGGGCTGTAAGCCAAGTACTATGAGGGAAAAGGCAGGCACACTGGAGGCGAGTAGCAGACCAAGTCTCTCTGCCTCATCCTTTCTTGTTTCATCTTCTGTATTTTTGAAAGAAACTGAACTAGCTCCCCAGCCAGAAAAAATGGAAACCTTGGGAGTATACCCAGAAAGAAGGTTCTCTGAGTGGAGTTTTACTTGCTTCCTAGACCTTTACACCCAAGAAAAGGAAGCAAAGCATTCTTCAGAAAGGAGAGACAGCAAGCAGATCCTGGGCCTCTGGCCTAAGAATGCTCAAGACACTGCGCCTCTATCCTTAAGTCAGCTCCAGGGTTTGGTCTGGTATAAAACCCAGGCCTCAGCTAAATAAAACATGGTGCATCCATACAGCAGGAGTCCATGCAACCAGTAAAAACAAAAGGGAGGTCTATATGAAATAATTCAGAGTCAATAAGTCAAGAGTCAATTCACAAATTTAAAGTACATATTGTCAAGCTTTTTTGGTAACACAATCTCAATTTTTTGTGGAAAGAAAAAAGAAGTTACAAATAGAAGTTACGTGTACACATACACAGAAAAATTTCTAAAAAGGCACATGAAAAATATTAATGAAAACCATTCATAATCCCTGCCTATGAGACGAAGGCTGCAGGAAATAGGACTTTGACCTGTATTATCTGAAATAATTTTACAATCACTTTTCTGATTTATTTTGAAATTCACTGTTTATAATTCATTATCTTGACTGTGATGAGTTTCAAAGGAATATACTGTACAAGGAGTGATGGAAAGATACAGTGCCCAGTTAAATTTTTTTTAATTTATTAAACTAAAAGACACATTGCCAAGAATGATGAAACAAATGTGTTCAAAGCAAGGAGAATATTTTGACTATTTTCAAAAGGGCTAATGGCAATGTGTCCTTTACGGTAATAAATTTTAAAATGTATACATTCACTGTATTTTATGATCATCCCTCATTAATCAAACATTTACAGTAATTTCTGTCAAATGAAACCATTACAGTGTGTTCTCATCCACCTTATTTACTGGATCTGGCACTGTGAGACTTCTGGCTCTTTTTCAAAGTCAAAATGACCATGAAAAGTAAATGTTTGAATTGATTCAGGCACTGAGGCAGCCATGACAGTGCAACCAAGGACACTCAAAAGAAGACTTTGCTTGCAGTGCAGAAGCTTTTTAACAAGATGAGATCCCAGTTGTTGATTCTTTGTGCTAGTTCTCGTGCAACTGAGATTTTGTTCATAAAAGTCTTTTCCTATGCCAATGTCTTCAAGAGTTCTACCTAAC